GTGCGTAGATTAAATAATAAGAATCTATTAATATAATAGAAGCTATTTCAAAAGAAACTTAGTAGTTAAAAGTTCGATTCGGCTATAGAGATATATCTAAATACGTTAACGAGATCTCGCTTAATTATAATTATATTCTTATTTTAGATAAGTAAGATATTAATAGTATTATTTAATATAATATACTCGAATATCTTATAGATCTTATAAATATAGTAATTAATAAAGTATAGCCGTAGAAAGAAAAGATCGTAAATTCTTCTTTAGTCGTTATTATACTTCGAAATAAGACTTAATAAGAACGAAATAAAGTATTTTAAGAGTTCCACGTCTAACCTTATTAGACAGTCGTTATCTATTAGAAGCAGCCCCGACGAGGGCCCTGCGACGTCCCTACGAGGGCCGTACGGCAGACACCCCCGGAACCAGCTTTTTTAGCTGAGTTGCTAACAATAGTGTCTGCGCTTTATTCCAGATCGGACAGCCTAAAGAATTTGGCTAGCCACCCCGAAGCGACACTAGCCATAGCCGAGGGTGACACGCTTAGTCTACTGAGAGTCGGGGGTTCGAGGACGCTTGAATCCCCCATCAAAAATCAGAAACTTGAATTTTTTCAGAGGGTCGCTCGGGTAATAGTCACGTCGAAGGCGGGCCCCGAAGCCGAATATTTTCGGGTAGGACGCCCTATTTCAATGAGGACATATTTCGGGCAGAACGCCCTATACAAATGAGATTTTCGGGCAGAACAGCCCTACTCCATTGAGGACATTTCGGGCAGAACAGCCCTATTCCATTGAGGACATTTCGGGCAGAACGCCCCAGGGCAAAAAGCCCAAAAAGCAGACGCCCGGGAAAGAAACCCCGAGGCCGGCCAAAATAGGCCTGATTGGAAAGCTTACTTTCTCATTACTCAAGACTGAAATCACAAAATATTCGACAATCATAAATTTAAAGTTGACCAATTAGGTCTTCAGATATCGTAATTTTAAAGCTAAAACTCACTTTATTTCTTCATTTCTAAGCTAAACGCGGGTGCACACGAGTACGTTTAAAAGAGGAAGCATTATAAGGCTGAGCCTCGAATATCAACTTTATTAATTTATTCTATTTAATTTCTTTAACGTTACGTAATAAATAATAATAAAATAAATTTATAGAGTTATAGAGTTAATTATACGCTTTTAGATAATGTAGCGAAAACGAAATTTGATAAAGTATTCGTAAAGATATACTAAAAACTAAGATTTATCGAGCTCGCGAGAAGAGCCCCTCCGGCAGAAGCCCTCGGAGAGCTCTCGAAGAGCCCCCGGAGGGTCAGGGGGGTTTTAGAGGATCTCCCTCTAAGTATATTAACTATCTCTCTTAATTCTCAGGGTTAGATCTCTTAAAATCCCTTAAATTCTTCGAAGCTCTTTAAGGACTCTCCATCTCCGAGGGCTTCTATCGAAGGGGCTATTAAAGCAAGCTCGAAATCAATCAAATATTACTAAAATAATCAAATTTCGAGCTTGCTTTGACAGCCCCTCCGATAGAAGCCCTCGGAGACGGAGAGCCCTTAAAGAGCCCCCGAAGGGTCCGAGGGGTTTTAGGGGGTCTCCCTGAGAATTAAACAGTCAAAAACCAGTACTCGGCAAGCTTTTCACTACTGGGAAGCCCGCGCCCCAGCACATATTTTGTGTGCGCTAAGGCGGGGCCACAGGCCCGGAATACAGCCCCATTCCCACATTGTACCGGTGCGAAGGCGGGCCAAAGGCCTTTCACTTGGTAGCCCCGTGGGCAAAAACCCCAGTGGCAAATTTCAAGCCCCGCAATATGAGCGGGCATTTAGAAATCTTCGGGGGAGTAAACCCCGGAGCACAGGGCATGTTGTCCTTAAAATCGTGGATCTTTCGGGGAAGAGTCCCCGGGACGTCGCGAGTTTTGCACCATCTTCGGAGCTCGAGGACGAGCCCCCTAGAGGGGGAGGTATTGTTAGCAGCAGCCCCCACGGGGGCCCTGCGACGTCCCTACAAGGGCCCTACGGCAGACACCCCCGGAACCAGCTTTTTTAGCTGAGTTGCTAACATTATCCTTTTACTTTTAAAGATTTTTAAATAGTATTTCAGATACTATAGCGGTACTAAGATGGGGTTTACTTAATAGTAATTAATTAAAACCTTTATAGTCTATTTTAATATCGCGGGCGATAATTGCGAATAAGATATTAACGAATATCTAATTAAGATAATTCTTAAGTTATTTCTTTTAGTCGTCTTTCTTTAATAAATTACGTCTTTTTAATAGAGACTTACTTAGCGAGATAAGTATATATAGAAATAACTCGACTATCGACTTAAGACTTTTTAATATTAATTATAATCGAGAAATAAGAGAGAGTCTTATATTTAGCGAGATAATATTAGCGAAGATTTCGTTAATATAGCTAATAATAGAATATAATAGACTATATACGTTATATATATATAAATAATAATAGTTTTAAGAGTTATAGAGTTTATTATAATTAAATTAATTATAGTAGAATAATTAAGAGTTTTATATATTTTAGTAAAAAGATATAAAAGTAATATTATAATATATCTAAAATAGAGTCTAACTTAGACGTAAATTATATAATAAATAAACTCTTAGTTAAGCCGACGAGAGTCGCTATCTTAGAATTCGATTTTCTAAGTAATTATCGAATATTCGCTATATATAAATATCGTCTTAATAAAGCTAAATTCTATTATAGACGAAGATCTTATAGAAATAGTATATTAATTAAAAGATATAAATAGTTAATAGATTAGAAATATAGTAGCGATAATTCGATAAGGCTTCTTAAAGAAGTAAGATAATCGTTTTATAGATAAAGAAATATATAATTTAACTATAAATCTCGAAGTATCGAAGAAGCTCTTTAAATTTCTTAATCTTCTTATTATTACTAGCGAGGCGATTAATAAAGCTATTAAATAACTTATTAAGATATTTAACATTAAACGTTTTATAATAGATTTATTTAATATATTTTAGATTTATCGCTTTAAAATAAAGAAGAAGAGAGGCTATTATAGAGTTATTACCTTAGTATAAAAAGAAGCGACGCGATACTACTTTTATCTTAGATAATATTAATATTCTCTATTACGATAGAGCTAAAGTTAATTATAAAATTTAAAGAGATATAGATAATAGCTAAGGAGATAAAGCGAATAGAAAAAATTAATAAGTCGATAATATAGAGACTTAGAATATAAGCTAATATATAATAAAGATAGTTAACTAGCGAGGAATACGAATCTTATTAACCTCGTTCTATATACGTGCGAGTTCGTCGTAATCGTAAAATATATTATTCTTATTAGCTTATTCTTATTTAAGTTTCTAATAAACGAGTTATAATTAAATAATATAGAGATTAAAAATCGACTCTAACGAGGTAAGCGGTTTTACTAAAGAATCTAGCTAATAAATAGAAGATATAGCGAGAATAGAGGGAGATAAGGGTTTATTAGAGAGCTCTCTTATAGATCTTATAGACGATTCTTATAGAGGTAATAGTTTAATAGTAATAGTCTAACGTATAGTTATAGCCTTTACGATAGGCTTATAAGAACGCTTAGAGACTATTAATAGTGACTAAATAATAACGATATAAGTGAAAGAATAATGTATTTTTTAAATGAAAATTCCTTTCGTCTGATATCAGGAAGGAAAAAGTCTAAAAAACCTCTTCTTACGACGAGAGGAACAAGAATAAAGAGTAAAAAACAGGAGGGACACGGCCTATTCAAGGCTCTTCCAACATGGCAATCTCGGCTATCCTGCTATAAGTGTGTGCTATACCTCTCCCTCACTAGCCCCCAGTCAAGCTGTGGCGAAAAAAGCTTAGTCCCGGGGGTGTCTACGCTTCACCCCATTTGAATCTAAATACCTCCGTAGAGCCCTTATAGGGGTCTTATAGAGCCTTCGTAGGGCCTCCGTAGGGGCTGCTGCTAACCCATAGACCACTATTAGAAGGCGTTCTCCGGCCGTTTATATCCACTAAGGCCCTATATCGAATATAGTTAACACGGTATTATTACTACGAGACTATTTAAGAAGAAGAAGAAATAGTTATTATTCATAAGTCGAAATAGATAAGGTGCTTTCAAAGAACTAGTAGCTTATTGCATTTCTACTTATCATAAGTAGAAGTAACTTTGATAGCCCCTATTGTCGCATTGTCATTTTCGCAGGATTTGCCTCGAGGCTTTTTCCATGCCTTCATATCGTTGGATCTTCTAACATAAAGTCTTAAGTATAGTCAGAGTGTCTAGTTCCTTCTACATGCGTCCTTCATACATCGTTGGATGCTATTCCACACCTTTCATGTATTAGCCATAGATAGCAGTGCTTTGTTCTCCATCAGTTTCCCCCCCCCTTATTTTTTATTTTTTTTTCATCTTCCCCTTGTCCTCCTGAGATATAAGCCTCAGAAAGCAAATGATCATGTTGTCTGTACCATCGCGAGTTGGCATAGCTCCAGCAATGACCCTCTTACCTATGAATGCGAATGCGGGCCCGCCGATGACGAGTACACCGTCTGGCCCGTGAATCCATCACTGAGAAGGCGGTACAAAACATCACAGCCGCTGTTACAGAGCTTGCTGGTGGCGCTCATATCGAGTGGCTCTGGACCGATTACAGATATACAAAGATGGCATGAAAAAGACAGAAGCGCCATCGAAGTACTTTGGCTATAGTACCTGCACCGTCAGCGAAGCAGCAGGCAGGATATATGGCTTTTCCAAAAGAGAAAAGCCTGATTTTGTCAAAATGCCCGACTACAGCACAGCCTCTCTTGCCGAAATCATGTGGTGTATTCGGGGCTCGATAGACCCCGTCCCCTTCCCATTGGATCCGCAAGATGATCTCTGACAAGCAGTTTACAAAGCGATGGAGGCTTTGCGGACCCTAGACGTCTTGATTGTCTGTGCTGCTGGCAGCGATGCACTACAAGTAAAGATCGTAGGATGGTGGATACGGCCCCTGCAGCGTTCAGTCTTTACGCAGCAATACCAACCCTCGTGGTCATGGGGAATTGTGACAACTACGGTGAAATACATTGGACTTCTCAGAAGACAGGAAGGCGGGAATATCCGCAGATACATGCACCTGTCGTCCAGATCCAACGTGCTTCGGCTACATTAATATCGGCGTACAGAATCGACACTGGGACCTCGTTCTGTAAGCAGACCGAAACGCTCGAGGAAAGAGTACCGCTAACATTCATACCCAGCTACTCCACTCGTAGCCGGCGTTGTAGCGTGGCTCATGGCGGTTGGAGAAATGGCAATGGGACCCGACCTCGTGTACAATTTCCTGGCTACGACAGCTGGGTGGAGACGATCGAATGGTGGCGAACACATGGTTTGGGACATGGTTCCTTGGAATCTGGATCCACCAGTCTGGAACTTTCTCAATGCCAGCCTTTCCAGATCCATGACCAATATGTCGAGAGTGGCGGGAGGAATTTCTGCCGATCTTAAGTGAGATGCACGAGGTGTGGGGCTCTACGTTGCGTTAAATCTATCCCCACATCGTTGATGGCGTCCGGCAACAGCATGCCAGAGGCGGTAGTGGGGTTCTTGGGCGCACGGGTATGTGGAAAGACCACTCCGGGCCGTCGTACCGTGCAAGTAAGTGTCACGTAACTCTGGAGAGATAACGAGAAAGTTGGTACCAAAAACGAGTGAGGTACGGTGGGATCTCTCGACCGACAGTCTGCGTTGTGCAGTTGCAGATACAAATAGCGTGTCCCGAGGACTCTAGCCTCAGACCACCTTCCCATCAGGGGGAATCGGCCCGCGCGGTATGTAGATCATCTTTATTCGCCTATTCTTGGGCAAGTGGGAGATATCCCTATCGCTCCCTTCTTAATTTCCGAGAACAACCTTCCTATTATGGCACTCTACTATTCAAACCCAGAAATGCGTGGGCCCCCATGTAGTATCCAAAACGTCATGTCTTCGCCTTTCCTATCAGACTTCAAAGCTTGCCTTGCTAGTCACCAATCCGAAACCGGCATGACAGATCAGCCGAATTTGCAAGGCACCAAGTTGGGAACAGAGAGCCGTGACACGTCTCAGTCCTGGTAAAGAAAAAGCAGGTGCTAAACATCTTCTAGCTTCTAGAATCCCTATAACCCTGACCAAAAGCCATGAGTGGCAAAGGTAAGTCTTGGCGAGCGTCACACCCACGGAACATCAGACAAATTGCCAGCGCCTCATTTGAAGGATTATGTCATGTTCGGTTGGGGATGAGGCCAAGATTGGGATCATGTGTTCATACTTGCGGCCTAGGTGAAGATTATTGGCATGGTATATTTGTTTACGGCTTTAGCGTGTGGAGCAAAGTATCGGAGAGCAACACCCGTGCAATTCAAAGCTCACGGGCCCGCAACGCCTCAACTTCGATTTCATATTGGCGTACAGACGTTTTCAGATGTCCAACAAAAGGTCCCGGAGTGAGGAAATTGAGTAGCACACTCGCGCAGCCGTCGTGCATGACAAAATTGCCCCCCGAAGAAGATTTTGCACAGAATCAGTATCATGATGCTGCTCAGAATTGAGAAGAGATCCTGGATGTTGTCAACCTGTGGGGTCTAAGGTACGTAATCGTCGGTGCCTCAAAAGTTAAATTGGCACTGAGGACGGGGAAACCAATTCGGACTACTGGGTTAGATCCATACGGCACAGGAGTTCAGTACGCTTCTCTTTGAGACATGGAAGACTGACGTGGAGGAGGTGAGGAAGTTGAGTGAGCTTTTGGAGTGGGGTTTTGAGAAGGAAAGAAGACTGAAGAGTGGGAGAGCGACGCAAGGTCAGTGGAAGAGGTGGTGCGAGTGGCGACTCATAATATATGCTGTGAAGGAGTGAGGAGATGGGCATAAGCGGGAAGATTGGCACAGGTGCGTGGAGGGTAGATCTGCTAAGATTTCCGAACAGAATGGGCTGGCTGAGCATTGCCCTTTTAGAAGTAGTAATACAGTAGCAAAATACAACTCTCAGCACGATTCGTAATCGTACCATCTCAAAACTTATAATGCCCGTAGATGCAATCAGGTAGCTCCTCTGCGTTTACCCTCAGTCATTTTGGACGTAGAAAACTTGAAAAGGATACAAAGGTATGGCTCACCCTTGATCATTGATAGGTGGCGGAACATTGTTCGCGCCATCCAGATCCGTATAGTTCTGTGTATTCGCCGCTGCGTTGCCCTGGTATGGCAGGCCTTGGTCTTTGCACACCTGGTATTGGTCCGCGGGGACGGTTTGTGATTGTAGCTGCAAGGGCGCTTCTACGAACGTTGCAAAGAAGCCGGCGATAAGATGCCAGTCTATGTGGCAGTGGAATGCCCAGACACGTGCAGGCTTTTGGTCAGCGAAGGTGTTGGGGTGCAGATAGGGGATAGGGGATACTTATCTGGGTTGTTTGCTATGAAGCGAAAGGTTACGTAACCACCCGCATTGACCTTGACTACATCGCGACGTATGGGAGTTGCTGGGGGGTCGATGGGCGTTCCACCGTAGACGCCAGCGTTGGTTGCGGAGCGCTGTACTATCTGGAAGTTGTGGCCGTGTATGTGGAGCGGATGGCCGCCTGTGTCGAAGTTGTTGACTACTACTTCAACTGTGTCGTAGTAGTCTACTACATGGGCGTTGGCGGCATAACCATAGACAATTGGGTTCGTGGCGTCTTTGCCAACGCTTAAAGCTGTGTAGAGTGAGGGCACTTTTGGTTCGGTATAAGTGATGTTGTTGATGGTGAATCTGAGTTCACATGTCAGCGACGCAACCTCGGACCGCATTGAGGTAAGGGAATGATTTACCGGTTCTGGTTATCAGTAACCCCAGAGTTCACGTTGAATATGATTTGGCGAGTGACAGGCGCGAACAAAGCCAATTTGTCGTACGGTACTAAGCCGAAATCATCCAAGGCCAAGCCGCCATCGTAGGAGGCGAAAGTCGGAGCTCCCGAAGGCAACGGCTTCGCGGCATCGTACACAAGATACCCGGTAGCATTAAGATCCAGAGTTGAAGGGACACTGTCGAACATGGAAGGATCCATGGCGCCAACAAATGCGAAGTTCTCATCAGCATTGGGCTTTGCTGTTATCAAGACACTCATACGCTGAGCGTCGGAGAGGTAAATTAGGTCTGTTTTTTGGGCTACGGTATAAACGCCATCGACCTCGATGATGGTCATCTCATGTTGGTCGAATGTAACAAAGAATGCGGCGAAGTTGGCCATGTTGATGATCCTGACCATGTATGTCTTGCCCGGTGTGATGGCGAATGATGTCGTCGCGTTGTCATTAATGATTGCTGAGTCAGGAATTGGTTCTGTGTGCTCAGGTGTAAGCATTCCTTGTTCCCACGTGCGGACAAGACTGACTCGCCTGCCCCGGAAGGATTTTGAATTGGGGAGAGAAAGCCAGGGATTAGCTCTGGCATCTGTTTGTGGTACCAATCCGATAGGGTCAGCACCAGCTCTTCGTCGTATTGGCCAGCATAAGGCGAGGCTGGATCGTGGATCAAGATAGGCCCTCGGAAACCGTCAGGGTATTGGCCCCCGTTGTGGGAATGATACCAGTAAGTCCCAGGCTGATTAACCTGTTGCGGGTCTTAGTAATCGAGTCCTCGTATGATGTTTTTTATGGTGTAGTACTTACCGTAAAGACTTGGGTGAAAGTCTCCCCAGGGCCGATTGGGCATTGCGTCACTCCCGTCGGGCCATCCATAGAATTGGTGCCGTTCTGGAAAAGACCATGGAAATGCACACTTGTCGTCTCGTTTCCCAGTTGATTAGTTAGATGCACAGTAATCTGTTCACCAACATTGGCAATGATTACTGGGACTGGCCATTGATTGTTGATACCGATGACAGGTCTTGCGTGCAGACCATCTGGGTTCCGGTTGACCCAAGTGACATCCCAATCGTAGACAGCAGCATATATGCAAATGCCGTGGGCCAAGGTAGCCAAAAGGGATGATTTTAGGAGCATCATGGTAGTGAGTCAGGATAAAATAGTGTACCCTCGTAGAAGGCTGACAGTATGGACCTGGAAGATAACGAGCGTTTGCTCCCTTTTATATAAGTTGCAGCGATTATTCTCAGGCTGTCTCGACCCTTCTCGACACCGCTTTCCATGCCCATAAAATCCCTCGTATTCCCAGTTCATACCAATTTGGCGAGCGGAGCTGACAGTAAACACTGCTAGCCTCGGATATAGTTGATCGTCAGCTCATTGGCGACTAGTAAGATCGGTAGATCGAGAACGTGAGAATAATACAGGCCCACTAATAGCCTATCGTCCGTTCGCCGCCAGACCCCATGAATTGGCAGGCTTTGATAGGCTCGCTCGGGGGGCTTGGAAGAAGAAAATAAGCCCGGAGATAAGTTGGGCAACAGGTGCACCCGAGCAGAAATTCTGATCATGGTGTATCCCGCAGTGGGCGGGCTTTTTGAGGTAGCATTTGACTATTAGAAGCCTACCAGGTGTCTTCGAGAACTGGTGACAATAGCCATACCGAGTATCAATCAAATTCAACGAAGTTGACGCTTTCAATGGTTTTCATGTATACCAAATGGATCAAAACAAACAAACGAGAGTGAACCATGGACTGCATGTAGACCAGGATGCAAGCCTTGCCAACCGTAGAGACAAGGCTGAAGAGATGGTGTATGCAAGAAGCTCGGATAAATTCCCCGAAAGAAAACCCCAAAGGAACCGCAAGCTGATGCTACCCTGGATATGAAACGAGAATCTGGTCTTGGACAAGTTGTGATTCGAAGACTTTGGCCGAAATTGACGATCATACATCATTTCATCGTGACTAGAGGTTTCTGGTGGCAGACACAGGATCAGCGGATATCCCGGCCAGCCAGTACCACGCATAGCATGCTGACCTGCAGCGACGAACTCGAGGATCTCGGACAATGCTCGATGTTACCCATAATGGTAGCCATTCATCCGACCAGGTCTCTATCCAGCCATTTGTCACATCCCCTTAAGACGCTGAAATGACACCAATTGAAAACGACGTGACTCAACAAGCGTAATAACCTTCAGAAAGTAGAGTGAACGGCAGCGCATTCCCGGTTGACGGTCTAGACCTAGTCACCATCGTTTGTCTCGGTAAAATGTGTTCTAAGACCGAACCCGAATGCACGGCTGACCAGGCCGTCGGGCTGCGGGATTTGTCAAGAAATAGCTTTTATGTTGTATCTCCTGCATGATTGCTGACTTTGTGGATGGAGGAAATCTGATGTAATGGTGGGCATCCATGGGGATCCCGTGTTTTTTTTTCCTTTTCTTTTTCACTTAGTACAGTCAGCAACGCGGCGATGCCACTACGCCGCTAATTTATGCAAGCGCGAGCAAATAATGAAAAGTGCCCAGATGAGTATGCAGGAGCGGAAGCAGAAGCAGATGCAGAAGCAGAAGCAGAAGCAGAAACAGAAACAGGAGCGGAAGCAGAAGCAGCGTGGCGTCATGTGGTGCCTTTTACCCGCTGTCAAGCTGATAAGACGCAGGAACAGGAGGAATGAGGCGACAATAAATCATGCTGATCAGGACATGGCCTGTTGACAAACAGGCAACCTTTATTTAGGTTGTGGATGTGATTGCGGCGGTACTATTATCGACGATCGCTTTTTGAAAAGGAGTATCCTCTCAAATGAGATGAGGGCTGTGCAATTACCTTGAGAGCTGGCAGCCTACGGCGCGCCTGGAATCCTTCATCAAGCGTTGAACGTGTGTCAGGTGGCAATGGTCATATGGCCATATGTGGTGTGTCAAGGTATTAGCGTCCTTTTGCCATATATCTAGCCCACACACAACACTTCATAAAATAATCAAACAGGTAAACCTTGAACACCAAGTCTCTGTTTACCCCACTGCCTTTTAATCCTTGATTACAATCATGGCTTTGTGATCTCCATGACTGGCCCACAACGCCTTCATACCCCCGCGTGAGCCACATGCCTCTTAGTTCTCACTGTCTTATGAAGGCTTTTCCATCATCACTCTCCTTCGAATTGGAGGCGTTTTCGCGCGAAGTACGACGTTTCTGCTGTGAGAAAGAAGGAAATTGTGGGCGAGAAGAAGTAGGATTTGAGGGTGCTGCATAAATCAGCTATCATTTCGATATCGAAACAGCAATGATGTGGTAGGCATAGGGAAGCTGCAATGTCTGCGTGATGTCCCTGAGCTTCTCATGAGATCATAGTCAGGGATGCGAATTTGTCATATGACACGTAACGTCACGTCAGACCTCTCTCGTCAATTGACTGTCATAGCAAGCCAAATGACCGCATGGCAAAAATACTATACTGTATAATTGACGGTATATTTAACGGTACACCTACGCGTTAAGATATTTCACGTAAATTCTAGAGAAATTTTCTGCTTAGTTATCTTAATAGGGCTTTAACTAGTGGGTATCTGGGCGCTAAGATAATTCTTATTACCGTACCTAAGAAGCCTGGTGGTAGCTGAGAAAGTAACCTAGCGTATCATATGTCATATCAAAGGGATGTCAGCCTATGACCGTCAGATGACTGTTGTCATAGGGGTCAAATGTCAGTCATTACGCATCCCTAAAATCATAGTAAACATGCGCAAATGCCAAGACCGTAGAGCCATGCTAGCACTAGCCTGATTACTAGCTGTTTATTTCTTCAGCCTGATCTAGCCATACCAGCCGCTTATTAAAGGCTGGCCTTAGGCGTATACCCCCTGTCCACTAGGCGTATACCCCTAAGTCTACTAGGCACAGATCCCCCTTAATCGAGTCTTCCGCGCGGATGCTAGCTTGATTAGAGAGGGGCTCGAGGGGGTATACGGCTCTGTCACTACTAAGGTAGGTACTATTGCTTCAAGCACTACCACGCAAGACCGAATCTTACCCTTGCCGTAATACTCATACCTTTGCCGAAAGGGATTGGGTTTGGTAGGCCTGCTTCCGCCGTTCATCCAGTACCGCCAGAAGATGTTGGTGCCTTGTACGGCCTCCTCTCCGGAGCGGTCGTCGGTGCCGCTAGTGGTATCTGGAGCAAATTGGACTCTGGGACCGTGAGTCCGGACATTGCGACCGGTGCTTTGCAAACTATACTGGTAGCATTGCAAAACACTGTGTCTACAGTACTCCAGGATACTAATGATAACATGTTCTGGACGCCGCAGGTGCGAGCATTTTGATGTAAGACTCAAATTCCATCTAGTACGCTCACGTGTAATTGAGGCAATCAAGGTTGAACGGTGACCCAGGAACATGCTCACAGGAGGCTTCTTACTCCAGCCCACAGACATATCCAACTCAGACGCAGTCGACGCATGGACTGTCGATTCCTTTCCCGTGGCATGAACAAAGTCTGGCGTGGCTACGCCACTTATGTATCCTTCGCAGATCTTAGTGACGATGCTGCTGGTAGTAAATGCGCCGCCGACACAATCAGCCCCAAATCCTCCAAATACTGCGCAGACGGCGATGTCTACTACCTCAACAACTTTGATCGCAACAGCGGTCACTTAAACAAGCGTTACGGCTATGACAGTCTCGTCGACCAAGGTATCACCCCCGCGAACATCACCAAAGCTTCGGCCTAGGCTTATCGCGCTAAAGGGATTATAATAAGTACGCCTGCTTTGGGTACATACGATGATGTAGCTAGCTAGCAGGTGGTAGCTAACATCGGCGACGGCAACGGCAGACAGCTACTTGGAAGGTCTTCGAAGCGAATGGACCCTTCCTCTCTGCGCTCACCGTACGAACTGCTAGACCTGGAACTACGAACCCGGCACCATAGGAACCGGGAGCAGTGCGCAAGGTAACAGCATGTTTCCTTGTGCATGTGGGCCTCAAGCAAGTGAAACCTGTTGGACAAAGGACTCTTCACACCTCACCGCATCCGTATGGATGCATCCGGAATGGAATGACCGGATTAAAGAGTCAATACGATTAGTATTATCTCTTTATATGTAGGAATATATATACGTCTATATAGCGAGGTTCCTACCTCGATAGATAGATTAATTCTATATCTTATTTATTTAATAGATTATAAGTAGTTAGCTTTTATTACGTAAATTATAAATTACTACGCTCTTTATTAAGAGATTAATTAGATATAATAAATTTATATAAATATTCTTTATACTCTCGACGAGAAGCTAAGTATTAAAGAGCTTAAATCTATAATAAGAAATCGAGATCTATAATAAAAAATAAAAAATAGAGTTATTTAATTATAATTAGCTTTAGAATAAAAGAAACGCTCGCGTATAAAAACGCTAATTCAAAGTCGCCGCTCTCGGAAAAGATATTTAGAATATACTTAATAATATTTATACTATCGTTATATACCCGAATTCTAAAGACTATAATCTCGAAAACGCGTAAGAGAATATAACTAAGTCTATCGATAGTAACGATAAGAGTAAATATAGAACTCGAATAATCTTAAACTCGGAGGAAATAAACGATTTTATTTAGTAAGCTATTAAAGACTCGATCGAGTAAAAGAAGAGTCTCTGTTAGAATATCAGGTATGGGGGAGAACGAACGGATTGATTCTCCAAAACCTCCCGGGGCCAGGTCCTAAATACAGTACAAAATCAGGTGGCTGGAAAACATGGTGGCTGGGATGCGCGGGAGCCACATTTCGACACTCCCCTGCAGCCACGCTCCCAGTCCACCCAACAAGAAATAAAGCTATACACAACTCCCATCAACGATAAAGGCCATTCCAGCCTTAAAAACAGCAACAGGCCATTCCAGCCTTCGACAGCAATAGGCCATTCCAGCCTTCGATAAAATAGGCCATTCCAGCCTTAACAAACAGGCTATTCCAGCCTTAACGATAGGCTATTTCAGTCTTAACAAACAGGCCATTTCAGCCGTAATAACAATAGTCATTTCAGCCGTAACAATAGGCCATTCCAGCTGTAATAATAGGTTATTTCAGCCGTATTAATAGGTTATTTCAGCCGTAACAATAGGCCATTCCAGCTGTAACACACACCATCCTGGTGTAATACGTCTTTCTGATATAACATTTGACATCCCTTCTAGGTAACACGTCTTCTTGACGTAACACCCCTTTCTGAGGTAATATGATATGTCTCTAGAGTATAATAAGACGTAATACTTCACCTCGAAGTAATATAGTCATTTCACATAGAACTTGTATATCACACTGGCACGTGTCTCCATTATCTGTAGTCCTTCGCGACGTTCCTCTTGCACTATTTCATTATCCCGCCGGCCTTATTAAATCTCAAAAAACTCTAAAAAAAAGAGAGAAAGAGTATCAGCTCGCCCATTAGGGACAAGTTTTTATTCCAACGAGGGTTCTTTACGACGACGAGGGTTCTTTATAATAACGAGGGTTCTTTATAACGACGAGGATTCTTTATAACGATACGACGACGTAGTTATAACTCTATTATCTAAATTAGTCTTATAGAAAGCTAATATTATAGCGACTTAGTCTATATATTCTATAGATCGAGCTTATAATCTATTAGAATATTAGATATGTAATGTATAGAACGAACGAATTAATTCTCTAAAATCTCTTCGAGGCTAGATTTTAAATATAGTATAAAATTAGATAACTAAAAAATATAATAGCTGAGATATATGAAAGTTATATTTCGATAGTCTCGACTTCGTAAGTCGAATAACTTTATATAAATTTATCTTTAATAAATATAATAAAGATCGTAAAATTATCGCTACTATAATGGCTTTACTTATAATCTAGATATATTTATCTCTTTAAGACTAGTTAAAGTTATTCGAAGTTTTAAAACGAGTCTATAATTAGAGGCTATTAAAGTTACTTCTACTTATAATAAATAGAAATATAATAAGCTACTAGTTCTTTAATAGTATCTTATCTATTTCGACTTATAAATAATAACTATTTCTTCTTTCTTTTAAATAGTCTCGTAGTAATAATATCGTATTAACTATATTCGATATAGAACCTTAGCGAATAAAAACAATCGAAGAATATCTTTTAATAGTAATTTATAGTTATAGAAAATATCTCTTAAAGCTATTATAACGATAGTATCTTAGCGTAGTTATTATAACTTTTATCTTTACTTTAACGAAGATCTCTTATAGAATAGCTTTCTTTAAGAAGACTCTCTTAGAGCGTATTTAGACTTCTTTCTAATTATAACGTCTATAGAATTAAGCTTAATTATAATAGCGTGTTATATATATAAAAGACTACTCTAGAGCGTATAATAGAATATAAAATAAGTAAGATAGCTTATAGAGTATTATTACTTCTTTAGAGAAGTAACTTAGAAGTTATTTTTTCTACTTATTATAGAGCTAAAATAGAATTATAGAAGTAAATAAGTAACTTATTTTATAAGTAGAAGTAACTTTAATAGTCTCTATTATCTTATTATTAGATACGAGTAAAGATCTATAAATTAAATTCATATTTTTTTTTAATACGGGCTATCGAGTAAGTAGATAAGCGATCTTTAATAAGCGATCTTTAATAAGCGAACTTTAGTAAGCGATATTTGAATTCCTTACGCTTTAATAATTATAAGACTAAATTTTAGAATTCTTAAAAATTCGAAATGTATAAATAGCGTTTTAAAATTTTAAAAAAAAAAAATATATATTAAATATATTTTTTTTTTTAATAAGAAAGGCGTAAGAGGGCGAGATTTTAATAATTACGAATATTAATTTATTTATTCGCGATAACTTAGTCGATCTAATTAAAGAGCGTAGCGAACTCGAATTAATAATTAACTATATATATAAATTTAAGATTTTTAAGCTTAACTCTATCTTATTCTTTTATATATATTAATAATATTATAGATATATATATATAAGATAGCGAAAAACTAGTTTAATAGTATTTACGTTATTCGCTATTAATAAGCTTAGAATTATATTAATATAATCGAGAATATTAAGTAAGATATTCTAAAGACTAGAGATTACTATAACGATTCTATAATAATTAATAAAATTATTCGAGAACTTAGAGAATATTTAATATATAAAGATTTTACGATATAATATTATTTACTTTATAATATCGATATTAAATTCGAGAAACTAGATTATATAATTACTTAATTACTTATATTTAAATTCTTTAACTTTCTAAAATTAGATTTTCGAGAAAACTACTCTATGAAATCTAAATTTCGTAATTTTCTTATAAATGAAAATCGCTTCGTAAATCGCGATACCTTTATAATACGAGAATAAAGAATTTTAAGAGAGAGATATTTTGTATACGATATCTAGAACTATAATAAAATTAAGTATAAAAAGACGTATTTAAAATAACGTTTATAGAATAATAGATATTCTAAATAATCTAGACGCTTAAGTAACGTCGAATTCGAAAATAACTTTAAATGTAAAATAAAGCTAAATGAAATAGTCGTAGTTATAATTATAAACGATAAAGTATTTTCCTCGACGCTAAAAAATGTTTAAATAAACTTTCTTTAAGATATAACCTATTTTATTCTTACTTTAGAGACTTTTATTAAAGATTATTCTTAGACTATTAGTCTAGAAAGATTCGAAAATAAAGAGAAGTTAAGTAAGAAGAATAAGTTTACTTTTAAGAAGAAGAGAGTTTAGATTTTTCTATTTAAAGGTGTTATATTTAATAATAATAGTCTTATAACTATTATTAATAGTTTTAATACTATCTCGCTTAATAATATAGTTATATTTAATAATAATAACGTAATTACTATTTTTATTATAGAGTTATTAGAAAATTATAATTACTTTATAGCTCTAAATTTAAATATATCTTTAGAATAAGATAAAATTAACTATCTTCTTATATATTAACTAACTTATTAAAAAGATACTATAAGCGAAGAAATCGAATTACTTAAAGAGAATTATATACGAAGTTCTAAGAATATAGTCGTTCTAAAAGAAAAAATGTCTAATATCGAAAATTAAATATCTATAAATCTTATTAATAGATTCTTTTAAATATTACTAAACGACATTTTCGATACTCTTAAAGAAATTAATATCGAAAACGCGATAAATGAGATTAGTAAGTAAATTTATCTTATAATAAATAATATATATATTAATCTTAATATCTAGATTCTAAACTTAGATATTAATATCTATATATACTAGTCGAAAAGATATAATATATTTTATAGAATATTTTATATTAAGTAATATTATATCGTACTCGAATATAATATAAATAGAGTTAAATATTATATTATTTTTTTAATATAAATTCGAGATCTTAGCGATATATTTTACGATATAATATATCTATAATATTATATTATAAAATAATATATATATAAGATATCTCGATTAAGATTTCTATATTTATAGAATAATTCGATTAAGATATATAGAATATATTTATTTTTCTTTATTAAGAGAGAGGGAATATAAAGAGTAATTTAATATAGCTATTTATCTTTTTATTAATAATAATAATTAGAATAATAATTAGAATTATAAATATCTCTATTCTTCTTTTTAAAATTATAATATAAAAGAATATTCTAAATTTTAAATCTTTAAATATTATAAAAATATAATTCTATAATTATTTTTATTTATATATTTATCTTAACGCGTTAAATAAGCTTAATAAACTTTATATTTATTCTTCTCTTAAACTTTATTTTACTCTTTTATTCTACTTTATCTTAATTCTTTTAAATACTTTAAATTTATCTCTATCTAATTAAACTTATTAATTATTTATAAATAAATTCGCTTTTTAAGTTACTCTAAATCTCTTTATTAAAATTAAATCTATTATTATTAATTCTCCTTAATTATAAATCTATTAATTATTTCTCTATATATTATAGAGTATTAATAATATATTTTAATAAATTTATAAATATTAAATTTATCGAAATACTTTTTATAAGCTTATTATCTTTATTAATATAATTATTATAAATATTAATTAAGTTTTTATATAAAATATTATTAGCTCTTTTAATCTAATTCGATATATTAAAATCTTCTTTAAAATTAAATCTAATCTATTTAAGCTTATTTTCTTAATACTTCGTATAAAGAATTATTATTAAAATATAAAATATCGCTAATAAATAATATTTTTAAGTATTATAATATCTTTTAGTTATTAAGAAATACCGCTTATATATAATAGCCTCCGCTGAGAGAATAAAGAATATTATAAATTATTTAAGTAATTATAATATATTTAGACTTTAAATTCTTTCTATTATTTTAGAATTAAAAGATTTACTAAATTATTAAAAGAAGCTTTATAAAAATTAAAAGTAAAATTATAATTAGAATAATAATTAGAAAATTTATTATTTCTTCTATATTATTAAAGCTAATTATATTTATTCTTATTATTTAAATTCTTAATCTTAAATTTTATTATTTAATTAAGCGTATTTTTATTTAATTAATTTATTCGCTTAACTCTTTATAATTAACTACTTATATTAATATTTTAATAATTTTAAAATATTCTTTTAAGCGTTTTTTAGTAAATCTTTATTTATAACTTCTTTTTAATATTAATCTTTTAATTTAATTTTTTTAATTTTATATTATTATAATTTAAATATAAAAGCGTAGTTTATTTATATAGATAGTTTAAATCTAATTAAGTTCGATTATAATAGATAGTTAATTTTTTATAAACTATTTTAAAAGTTTTAAGAAGTTCTTTTTTCTAAGAAATTCTCTTTCTTCTTAATTTTCTAAGCTTTTTATCTATATAATTAAATAGATAATTATAAATATTAAAAATATAATAAATTATAGCCTTCTTTCCTCTATTTATTAATTTTATAAATTTATAAAAAGATTTAATAAGCTAAATTAAATATTAAATCTATTAGAAATTAATTAAAAATTATTTAAACGTCTAGATTATAATTTCTATTTATAATTATTTTTTATTATTTAATTTTAAATAAATAGTTAATTTATTTTTTAAGAAGTATATAATATTAATATAAAGAAGTAGAGCGCGAATTAATATCTAATAAATTAAATCTTAGCGAGTCTTAATATTCTAAAAAAGCTTAAAAGAATATCTTTAATAATATTACTTTTTTTTAAAAAGTTAATATTTATTTAATATTAAAACGTTTTTATTTTAAAGTTATTTAATTTATAATATAAAAAGAATTTTTTTATATTAATTACTAGTATTAATATATATAATAATTTTTCGAATTTTAATATAATTAATAATATAATAACTAGAATAATAATAAGAAATATTATATCTTTATTAGAGTTATTAATAAGTTAATTATATTTACTTAAATTTAATTCTTATCTTCTTTATTATTTTAATTTCTTTAAAATTTCTTATTTATTAAAATAACTCTAATATTATCTAGAAGTTCTTTTAAAATTAATTAAATAATATACGCTATATAGAGAATATATTATAAATAATTTAAAAACTTAAATTCTCTAATATTAAGCGAATTCTTTACTATAAAAATAAAAAGATAAATAATTAAATTATTAAAGAGTATATTATTATTATTAATATTATTAATTATAAGTTTAAATATATAAATTTAAATCTTATATTCTATAAGAATTAAATTAATAATATTTATAAGTTTTTAATTAATATATTTATCTTTAATATACTCGAAATCTATAAGAATCTTATATTATTATTAATTAATATTAATAAAAAAGATTAGAATTATTATAAATAATTAATAATTATAAAATAATTAATAATTTAGAGTTAAATAGAGTTTAATATTATTAATTAATAAATTTTTTAATAATCTTATCTCTAGCTCTATAGCTTTTTTTATTAATTAATTCTTTATAATAAATATTAACTTTAATTATATATTAAAGTTAAAATAATATAAAAATTATAATATCTTAGAATTATTAATAATTATAAATAAAATATTAATATTTATAATTTAATAACGAAATTATTTCGAAAAGTCTTCGCGTATAAACTTTTAATCTTCTAATATTATAAGAGAATTTTAATATTATCTTTTCTAGAGTAAATAGTAAGCTAGATATTTTATTTATTATTTTATTTATTAATAATTTATATTATCTAATTTAGAAATATATCTAATTTTTATAATTATTAACTAGATTTATTTATTATAAATTACTTAAATTAGATTTCTTAATATATCTCTTAAATTTAATATATACTATTATATCGCTTATTTCGTAATTTATAAATAATTAAATTAAAATCTTATTATAATAATAATAAATAATATATAGCTTTTTAAAATTAATAAGCGTATATTTATTAAATTATATTTACTTCTAAGATTTTCTAATTTCTAAGTCTTAATAAATAGATTAATAATAATTATTAGATTTAGATTAATTGTCACGGTACGCCAAGGCCTCCTTCAGAGCCACCACCCATTTGGGCCTAGCGTGGCTTGGCACCGCACATATCTGCCCTGCGGGCACATAGAATAATCAACATCTTTTACACCACATGAATTCATGACCCAGTCATCCTATTCCTTGACAATTGGTAGCAACACCTAACCCAGGTCCTCCCAAGTCGTCTATACCGTCACTCAACCCGCAGTCACGCTATACCGACAGTCAGCCCCGCGCTCCGCTACGCAGCTAGATTCAGTCTACGCAATCAGACAATTAGGCTATTTACCAGCCTACCAGACCACACAGTCAATCCTTTCATTAGGCCATTTGACACCTACATCATGACTAGCAGTCAAATCTCGCTCCCGGGCTTCTCAGCACAGCAAGTCAGCTCTCTCACCGTCCTCATTCAACACGTGCTTAATCAGGCATTCAAACAACACTTTGGCCCACTGCCGCTCCAGCAAAAGCAGTCAGTCATAGTGCCAAAGCCGGCACAGCCACCAAAGCAGCAACAGGCCACTACGGAGAAAATCATGGAGAAGAATAAGAGCATGGGCAGCAGCAGTCCTATTCAAGCGGGCACACTCTCCACAATTGAACACCAGGCCACTATGCATAATTGCGGAGAACCTTCCTCTCGCCTCAGCAATACACCGGTTTTCGCCACCCCTCTCGCCTCTCTTCTCACCTCTCTTCTCGCTCTCGCCTCTCCGCCCGACTACATTCGATTCGCGAAGGATATGGAGGCTATAGGCCAAGGATAGGTGCATGGATATATGGACAGCGCACGCTTGATGTAGCTATCCAGAGATGCAGCCACGGGGACGTGTCTTTTTTTCATTCTTTGCGGGCATGTTGTCACGGTACGCCAAGGCCTCCTCCAGAGCCACCACCCATTTGGGCCTAGCGTGGCTTGGCACCGCACATATCTGCCCTGCGGGCACATAGAATAATCAACATCTTTTACACCACATGAATTCATGACCCAGTTATCCTATTCCTTGACAATAATTCTATATAATCTATACTATCTTTATTTATTACTATATTTTTTATTTTTTATTATTAATATTAAAAAGAAAGTAAGATTTATTATTATCTTTATATTAAAATATATTTATTAATATTTTATATTAAATATTATTAATTAAAAAAATTAAATTTACGCTAAATAAAGATTTAATTAATATCTTAAAATTAAGATATTTAAAAAGAAATTAAAAGAGATATATAAATAAATAAAATATTAGAAATAAAATAAAATTAATATTTAATATATAAATTCTATCTTCTCGCTATAATAGAAACTTATATTACTTTAATAATATATCGCTATATTATTCTTAATATTTTAAATTAAAAATTAATTCTTTCTAATTAATATTATAATTAATAATTATATATTAAAAATATATAATAATATTAATATAGAATTAATATTTAATTTTATTAATTTAAAACTCTAATTAATCTAATTATTAACGCTTTTCTATTTAATATAATATATATTTTATTTACTTTAATACTAGTACTAATTTATTATTATATTATTTTAATTATTAAAATTAAAAATTATATTTATTTAATTAATATTTTAATCGCTAATTATATTAATAAAGATATATATTAATATTTTAAAATTATTAAATAAATTTTATTAGACGTTAATATAGAATTAAAATTTAATTTAAATATTTTAATAATTTAATTAGCTAAACTAGTTATTATCTAAATCTTTTATATATAAAAATTAAATCTTTCGCTATATTAAGATTATTCTTAAATTTTAAAATCTTTTTTATTAATATAACTCTCTCTTATTTAAGTAATATTATAATATCTTTTACTTAAATATTAAAATATTAAAATATTATATTCTTCGCTTTTAATTAAGCGACTTTATCTTTAAATCGATATCTTTAATCTTATAAAAATAATAATTAATTTATTATAGATAAAAACGAAAAAGAAATAATATCTTCTTTTATCTTTATAATAGAAGAAAAGAAGAGAGTAAGTAAATTAATTATAAGCTATAAATAGCCCGATATCTAAGAATAATAAATTAATAAAGTTATAATATTAGAATAAAGAGCTTTTCTTATAATTAATAAATATAAAATTAAATAGAAATTAATTAGATTAATAAAATTATCTTTAATAAATATATTATATATATAAAGAATATTAAAATATATAAAATATAAGAGAGAGCGTATATATATAGTTATAAATATTTAAAGTATATTTAAAATATAAAAAGAAGCGCTTATATATAGCTTTACGATATATATTAATAAAAAAGAAGTTAATTTTTTTTTTAATTAGCTTTTTAATTAATATTTAGATTTAATTTATCTTTAAATAATATTTTATTTTAATAAGATTTTAGTTATATAATATTAATTAGCTCGATAATAAATATTTAATATTATTCTTTTCTAATTTACTCTCTTCTTTTTTAAAAATTCTTTTTATTATTATAATATTTATATTATAATATACTTATTTATTACGATATTATCTATATCTAAAAAAAATAAAATTATTTTCTCTATATTCTATAATTAAATTAAATTAATAATATTATTTTTATAAAGTAAGTATATATTTAATAGCGCTATATCTTTTAATATAATAATTAATTATAATATTAATTATAATTTATTAATATATAGTATTATTACTTATTAAAGTTATTAATTTAATAATCGCGAAAGCTTAAAAAATTCTTAATAATTTATTAATTATTAATTTAGACTTATCTAAATTATTAAAGGGAAGTAAAAATAAAACTTCGCGAAGATAAAAATTAGAAGATTATACGCGAAATTTAAAAAGTATAATTATAAATAAAAAAAGTATATAGTTATATTAATTATATATATTTAAATTAAATAATAAATTAATTATACGCGTTAATTATATTATTATTAATTAAACTTTAAAATTTATATATTAAAGAAAATTCGCGGATTATAGAAGTTAACGAATTTAATTATTTTTTAAATTATATTCGCTTAAATAATAAAGAAGATCTTAATTTATATAACTTTAAATTTAATTAATTTACTTTAAATTTAATTCTTTATATTAAACGCACTTTAAGAAGTTATAAAAATAAAATTAGCGAGTAATTTTAATAATATAACTTACTCTCTAATAATTATAAATAAAGAAAATTACTAACTAATATCTAGTAATTTAATTATATATATTTTATATAAAAAGAATTACTTTATAATTAAAAGATATATAGCTTTTTAAATAATTATAATAAGATATAAGTTTATAAGTAATAATATAGTATTATTAAAGTCTAGATATAGTTTTTATAAAAAGAAAATATATAATAAATAAAAGAAAAACTATTCTAAGTTAAGAATAAGATATTCTAATTATTATTCTATTTATTATACTTAATTAATAATATTTAACTATTATACTTAATCTAATAATTTTATATATTTTATATTTATAAAATAAAACTTCTTAAATCGATTTAAATATAGATATATATTTATAAAAATATTATTACTTTAATAAAAGAGACTTCTTATTCTAAAATCTATATTAAATTAAAGATTATATCCCTACGTCTAATAGCTTTAATTCTTATAGTTACTATTAATATCGCGACTAAATTTATATAATAATAATACGCCTTTCTTATTAATAAGTATCTTTATATTTAATAGCTTTAATTTCTATAATTACTATTAATATCGTAATTAAATTCGTATAATAATAATACGTCTTTCTTATTAGCGGGTATCTCTATATTTAATAACTTTAATTTCTATAATTATTATTAATATCGCGATTAAATTCGTATAGTAATAATACGCCTTTCTTATTAATAAGTATCTCTATATTTAATAACTTTAATTTTTATAGTTATTATTAATATCGCGATTAAATTCGTATAGTAATAGTATATCTTTCTTATTAATCGTATGGAAATACGCTATACTTAGTATAAGTTACTCTAACGCTAAGACTACTCTAATATTAATTTTTTTAATTCTTCTATTTACTTATCTATATATATATTTATTTAAAACTACTTTAATCTATTTTAATCTTTTTAATTACTTTAATCTTAATTAACTTTCTAACTCTTTATATAATAGCCTTAAATTACTTAATATTCTTATTTCTAAATATATTATATACTCGAGACTCTTTAGTATTTACCCACTTTAAAGCTCTTAAAGTTCTTTTAATTTTTATTTCCTTACGTATAATAATCTAAGACCGAGTCTAATAAGAATAATAATACCTCTCTTCTAAATCATCGTATTGATTTTACTTTTCGAGTTACTCGAGCTATTATAACTCGTTAAATAATATCTAATTCTCGCTTAACGAGTAGATCTAAAAAAAAATTGTAACTTTTATATATATCGAACGATAATAAGATATTCTCGATCTATCGAGCCGTTATATATATTAATAAAGAATCTATTTTTTAGAATCTATAGACGCGTAAGAGTAGTTATCTTTAAAGGGAATCTTATTATAGCGATATAGAAGCTAATTATAGAATATATTAAATTAAGTAATTAATCGAGTAACTTTAAGCTTTATTTCGAGGGTAATAGAGACTAAGGTCTATTAAATACGTTCTTAAATAACGATATATAAGTTAGATATCGTTATAATTATAATAAATAGATGGGGAATAAATGAGTTAAAAAATTAAGAAAATTAATATTAAGGTGATCTTAGCGTTAAGGTAGCTTATACTAAGTATAGCGTATTTTTATACGATTAATAGATATTTCTATATCTAATAACTTTAATTTTTATAATTATTATTAATATCGCGATTAAATTTATATAGTAATAGTATATCTTTCTTATTAGCGAGTATTCTTATATTTAATAGCTTTAATTCCTATAGTTACTATTAATATCGCGACTAAATTCGTATAATAATAGTATATCTTTCTTATTAGCGAGTATCTTTATATCTAATAATTTTAATTTTTATAGTTATTATTAATATCGCGATTAAATTTATATAATAATAATATATATTTTTTATTAGCGAGTATATTAATAATCGTAAATAATTAAAATATAATAGAAAATAGTAGATAACTATTAATAATATTTAATCTTAAATCTATAGCTTCTTTATCTCGTCTAAAAATAAAGATATTTATATCTAGAATTTAAAGTAAGTATATTTTAATATATAATTATTAAATATCTAGATATAAATCTTTTAATTAAAAGATTAGTTTTTTAAGAGTTAATTAATATAATTATAATAATAATTAAAAGTATAATTATTATATTATATAATATATTTTAATAGATTAAATTCGATAAACTTCGCTAGTATAACGCTAGATAGATTTTAAGATATTAAAACTATAAGTAAAAATTCTCTCTTTCTTTCTTTCTTAGTATTTTAAATTTTTCTCTTATTAATATTTTATATCGTAATTATTTTATCTTATTTATCTTAATCTAATTTAATAATAATATATTATTAATAATTATTAATTTTAATAATAATTTTATTATACTATTATTATATAGAGATAGCGATATCGATTTATATATTAAATTAACTTATTCGAAAAATAATATAGATCTTAATAATCTTTTTAACGATATAAATAATTAGTTAAATAATCGCTTATTTAATCTTTATATTAAGACTTTAAATTAAAAGAAAATCTTAAAGTCTTCTAGTTATAAAAAGATAATTACGAAAAAAAAAAAAAAAAGGGAAGTTTTTTTTTTTTCG